AGCAATCAAGTTGCCCTACGTGTGCCACTCACGGCAGAAGCCCTTTTTGCCTTAACGGCCCCTAAACCAAGATGGCAGTCAAATTCAAACCATATTACAGTACGGGTGAAAACAAAAGCCCGCTATTTATATTCCTGAAATTAAGTAAGGAATTCCAGATTTTTCTAAGCCTCAGAAACGCGCTAAAGAGAATTTATTTATTATTTTTCGAGTGTTGCATACCAGCAAAAGTAAGTACACGAGTGCATATGCAAATATGAGCAGTGCTTGCTGGGAAGGAGCTGGCGGCGGTGGAGCGGGAGGGGGGCGGAGCAGTTGCCAGAGCCCAGCTGCTGTGGGACGCGCTGTTTAGCTCCCTTCTCCGAGGTTAACTAAAGGCGTTGTGGGAAGATCGGTTCTTGGAAACGCGAATCCCAAGCTATCAAAGCTGAAAATGATTAAGATTTGTGCCACTCGCCGCCATCCATCCTGAACCGGCTGCTGAAGACACGAGGAATCCAGACGAGAACTGGAAGCAACGGATCTGCTTCACCGCGCCGTGTCAGGGTGGGCCTGAGATGCGACCTACCTTCTGCTGCTGACGAGGAGCACGCACGGTGTGCACCGTGTGCACTGTCGGTGGAAGCCGGCGTTTTTTTCGTTTGTGAGTGTGTGTGTGTGATGAGGCTTGAACTCTGGGCCGTGGTGCTGTTCCTGAGCTTCTTCCACTCAAAGGCTAGCACTCTACCACTGTGAGCCACAGCTCCATTTCTGGCTCTTTAATAACTTTATTGGAGGTAAGAATGTCATAGACTTTCCCGCCCTGGCTGGCTTCGAACCTTGATATCAGATATCAGCATGCTGAGTACCTAGGATTACAGGTATGAGCTACTGGTGCCCAGATTCCAGTGCTATTTATTTATTTATTTTTTGGTCGGTCATGGGGCTTGAACTCTGGGCCTGGGTGCTGTCCCTCAGCTTTTCAGCTCAAGGCGAGCACTCTACCACTTGAGCAACAGCACCACTTCCGGTTTTCTGGTGGTTTATTGGAGATAGGAGTCTCACGGTCTCTCCTGCCCGGGCTGGCTTTGAACCGCGATCCTCAGATCTCAGCCTCCTGAGTAGCTAGGATCACAGGCGTGAGCCACCAGCGCCCAGCTCAGTGCTATTTATTTTTAATAGCCATTATTTATATGGCAAAAAGGTCTAGAACATTTATCAATGATTACGTCTGGGAAGGTAACAGGATGAAACCTATGAGAGGAAATTTTAAAGATAGTTAATGATTTATTCTGTATTGTTTGTAATCAAAAGTGTCTTAAAGATATAATCTTTTACCATCCATATTTTCTCCACATAATAAAGGTTCATTGAATTATGTTTATTTATTTATTGGTGATCATGGGGTTTGAACTCTGGGCCTGGACGCAGATTTGAGCCTCCTGAACCGACATTATTTTTAAATAAGATGTAACTCAAGGAGAAAACACTTCTTTTTTTTTTTTTGCGGTTGTGGGGCTTGAACTTTGGGCCTGGGTGCTGTGTTGTGGGGCTTGAACTTTGGGCCTGGGTGCTGTCCCTCAGCTCTTAAGCTCAAGGCAAGCACTCTACCACTTGAGCTACAGCGCCACTTCCGGTTTTCTGGTGGTTTATTGGAGTTAGGAGTCTCAAGGTCTCTCCTGCCCAGGCTGGCTTTGAACCGCTATCCTCAGATCTCAGCCTCCTGAGTAGCTAGGAGTACAGGCGTGAGCCACCGGGGCCCGGCTAGGAGAAAACACTTCTATAGCACATGCAAGACCCTGGGTTCACTTTCCAACACCACAAGTTAATCAATAATAAAAATTAAGCCAGGTGCCAGTGAATCACACCTGTAATCTTAGCTACTCAGGAGGCTGAGATCTTAGGATCAGGGTCCAAAGCCAGCCTGGGCAGGAAAGTCTGTGAGACTCTTATCTCCAATAAAGCACCAGAAAACCAGAAGTGGCACTGTGGCTCAAGTGGTAGAGCACTTGCTTTGAGCTGAAGAGCTGAGGGACAGCACCAGGCCCAAAGTTCAAGCCCCACAACCGACCAAAAAAAAATTAAAACCATATATATAATCATTGTAAAAAAATTAAAACATGCCAAACGCCAGTGGCTCACACCTATAATCCTAGCTACTCAGAAGGCTGAGATCTGAGGATCATGGTTCAAAGCCACCCTAGGCAGGAACCTAGGTAATTTTTGGTCGGTCATGGGGCTTGAACTCTGGGCTTTGGCACTGTCCCTGCACTCTTTAGCTCAAGGCGAGCGCTCTACTGCTTGAGCCACAGCATCACTTCCGGTTTTCGAGTGGGTTTATTGGAGATAAGAGTCTCACGGACTTTTCTGCCTGGGCTGGCTTTGAACCCCGATCCTCAAATCTCAGCCTCCTGAGTAGCTAGGATTACAGGCCTGAACCACTGTTGCTCAGATAAACCATCAGAAAACCAGAGGTGGCGCTGTGGCTCAAGTGGTAGAGCACTTGCCTTGAGCTGAAGAGCTGAGGCCAAGAGTTCAAGCTCTACAACTGACCAAAAAAATAAAATAAAATTAAAGCAGTACAGAAATCGTGTAAAATGTGAAGATGCATTCATATTTTAGTGCTTACCCTGTCACACTTTTCATATGTACATATATACTATAAATACATGCAGGTTTTCGTTTTGTTTGCCCGTCGTGGGGCTTGAGCTTTGGGCCTGGGTGCTGTCCCTAAGAATCTTTTTCTGAAGGATAGCACTGCACTCTACCTCTTGAGCCACAGTATCACTTCCAGCTTTTTCTGAGTAATTTTATTGGAAATAATTCTCATGGATTTTCCTGCCTTGGCTAGCTTTGAACTTCAATCCTCGTATCTCAGCCTCCTGAATAGCTAGGATTACAGTTGTGAACCACCAACACCAAGCAGGGTGTTTTTGTTTGTTTCTGTTTTGTCTATTTTGTGCCAATAGTGGGGCTTGAACTCAAGGCCCTGTTTTTGTTTTTTGCCAGTCCTGGGGCTTGAACTCAGGGCCTGAGCACTGTCCCTGAGCATCTTTTTGCTCAAGGCTAGCACTTTACCACTTGAGCCACAGTGCCACTTCCAGAGTTTTCAGTTTATGTGGTACTGAGAAATTGACCCAGGGCTTCATGCATGCTAGGCAAGCACTATACCACTAAGGCACATTCCCAGCCCGTGATTTTGTCTTTTAAAGAAAAAAAAATGTAGAAACATACTCATTAAATCCCACTCTGTATAACTAATGTAAGCTAATAATAATAATAAAAAAATAGGGGCTGGGAAGGTGGCTCAGTGGTAGAGTGCTTGCCTTGCATGCCTGAGGCCCTGGGTTCGATTCCTCAGCACCACATAAGCAAAAAGAAAAAAACCGGAAGTGGCGCTGTGGCTCAAGTGGTAGAGTGCTAGCCTTGAGCTGAAGAGCTGAGGGACAGTGCCCAGGCCTAGAGTTCAGGCCCCACGACCAGACCCAAAAAAAAGAAAAAAAAACAAAAAACAAATCATATAGAAAAACAAAAGAAAGAAAAAAGCCAGAAGTGGTACTGTGGCTCAAGTGGTAGAGTGCTAGCTATGAACAAAAAAAGCTCAAGGCCTTGAGTTCAAACACCTCCAAACAGAAAAGAAACAAAAAAAGGTTAAGAGTCTTGAAGATTTGTTTGCCTGGTCTGGCTTCCTGCCAGATTCTCAGATCTCAGCATCTTGTAGTAGCTATGATTAGAGGAGCAAGCCACCAGAGCCTAATCATGTGCATACATTTTAAAACAAATATATACATATAGACTGTTAAGACAATTTGCTTTCTTTAACATACAACTACTTATGGAATTCCCTGTAGCTCAAGTGGCAGAACACCAACCTTGAGCAAAAAGCTAAAGGGCAGTGTCTAAGCCTTGAGTTCATGCCCTGGTCTCCAAAAGAAAGCAAAACCCACCCAACAGAGGGCAGTCTGCTGCTCCAACTTGGTTAGCTCTTCTAGATTCCTGCTGCCAGCTACTGTTGCTATCTCTGGGTGTCACTGCCGTTTATGCTTTCTTTTGTATATGTTACTAAAACCCCAGATACTGGAATCGTATATGGTTTACATGCCTACCATCTAAGGACAGGGTGAAAATATAGTTGTCACCACCAAGCATTCATTAAATGGGTGAAAACACTCAAAAAAGAGAGAGACAAGAGAACTTAATGGTTACATCACAGGCTCAGATTTTAGAGAGAGAATTCTCAGCTCAAGCTGAGGCCTCGCACTTATTAGCTAGAACATTGGTGAATTTTTTCGGTTTCTCCAAATGACAAATCGGAAGGAAGTTAAGACACTTTCTGGCAGTGCGATTGTTATTCACTTGCAAATTCAAAAGATCGGTCTCTCCGGCCGCCGGTCTCCGGGCTGCCGGCTCCCCCACTGGGCGGGGGAGGGGTTGAGGAGGACACCTAGGGAACACCGCAGTCCCTCCCGGTGAGAGCCCCGTCCTGACAGCCTAACAAAAGACACCAGTCAAAAATGGCGACTTCGAGGCCATCCAAGGGCGTCAGTTACCGGTCACTAGCGACAGACTCAAGATGAGTCGGGAAGAAACAGCTAGGGCAGGTTCGATGGTGAGGTAGAAGACACTCAACTCGGCCCACGCCAGCAAGTCGGCCACAAGCAGGAGGCAGCCCGAACGACCGGCGGAGCCGAGCGGACCTGCAGCCGGCTACCGCAACCACGTGTCGTAGAGCTGTCTGCGCCTGCGCCAGGCAAGCGCGCTCCCGCCGGCCGGAAGAGCCGCGCGTTTCCGGGTTGGAGGCGGGGGAGCGGTGCCGGAAGTACTCGGGGAGGGCCGAGCAGTCGGACCGGCTGCTGAGAGGAAAGCTTCACTGGGGCAGTCTCCGCATATCATGGGGAGATAGACGCTGCTGCCTGTGAGTCTTGGGCCCTGGCAGTTGAGGAAGAAGAGCGGGAGGAGGGAGTCAGGACCCAGACCCACAGCGGGTCAGTGTCTGAAGAGCCAGATGGTGGAAGAGTCTGGGCTGAGAGCAGTCAGGCTCTTGGGACGGGACTTGAGGGGATCGGGCTCGGAGAAGACACGGCTGTGGGGACCCGGGCTCGGAACGAGACTCAGGGAACGGGGACGGACGTGAGTTCTCTGGCACCCGAGGGAAAGTCGTCCGAGAGGGACAGGATTGTGAGCACCCGTACTTTTAGGAGGAGAGGGCGTGAAGACACGGGCTCCGGAGAGGTAAAAGTGGAGCAGCGAGGACTCGGGCTCCTAGCAGACAGAAGCGGGACAGCGAAGATCCTGGGCTCCCAAGGATTCGGAAGCAGGGCTACCCAAGACGTGGGTCCCGGAGAGGCAGAAGCAGACGAGTTTGGGAGGGGACAGAAGTGAAGACACGGGGGCTTCTGTGGGAACGGAATCGGGGCTCTTGAGACTCCCCAGTTCCTGAAGGAATAGGGCTGTGAGGACCCTCAGATCCCCAAAGCGGAGGCTCCGAGGGGCCGTGTCTTGTAAGATCAGCCTTCGAGGGAAAGGGAGAAGGTTTGAAAAAGACTTAGCGATACATTTTTCTCTTGTCTCTCTCCTCTCTCTTGTATTCTCTGTGCCCAGCGTGATAAAGGATGTACTAGGGGAAGACGACTTCTTTTCGCGCTGCCCACCTGGCTTCTGGCAGGCAGGCTTTTCTCGTGTCAGATACTTAATCTAGGAAGCCCACAAGTAAGCATCTTCGTTTTTCTGCTTCATTATCGCGAATCCAATGTGAAGTTCGAAGCAGTTTGAACTCAGTTCTGTACTTTGATAAGTGCTTTTAATCCATTCAGTCAACTCCGATGGAGCACATATCTATCTCTGCTTCTCAAGTGGAATGTCAGGGATGGAAGGATAGGAAAAGACCATCTTTAAACTCCTATTTACATTTAAAGAGAGGAAGGTCCAAAGAAGGCTTAGAATCACAATGGGACTGAATAATTAGATCATGTTTGATAGGTACTCCCTTGCAAATAGAAAATATGAGATGTTTGGTTAATATTTCTTGAATAAATAAATGCCCCTCTACCTCCAAATTTAGGAAGTAATTTTTGTAGATTCTAATACTTTATTTTTACTTTTGTTACTGTATTGATATAGATACAGTGAATGTCATTAGTTAAGAAAACTGTTAAATGGATCCCTGTTATTTTTTACTTTTTGTCGGTCCTAGGGCTCGAACTCAGGGCCTGGGCACTGCGCCTGAGCTCTTTTGCTCAAGCCAAGCACTCTACCACTTTGAGGGTCACTTCCGGTTTCTTGGTGTTTAAGTGGAGAAAGTCTCCTGGACTTTCCTGTTCAGGCTGGCTTTCAACCAGGATCCTCAGATCTGTCTCCGGAGTAGATAGGATTACAGGCCTGAGCCATCAGCTCCTGGCTTAATTTTTTAGTTAGCTGTTTAAAAAGTTGTTAGGAGGGCTGGGAATGTGGCTTAGTGGTAGAGTGCTTGCCTAGCATGCATGAAGCCTTGGGTTCACTTCCTCAATTGAACAGAAAAAGCTGTAGGTTGCACCGTGGCTCAAGTGGTAGAGTGCTAGCCTTAAGCAAAAAGAAGCTCAAGGACAGTGCTCATACCAGACCTTGAGTTCAAGTCCCAAGACTGGGGGGGTGGGGGAGGGGGAGTTATTAGGAAGCTGAATGCCAGTGACTCACACCTATATTCCTAAGCTACTCAGGAGGCTGAGATCTGAGAATCATGGTTTGAAGTCAGCCTGAGTAGGAAAGTTTGTGAGACTCCTATCTCGAATTAACTGCCAAAAAGCCAGAAGTGGAGCTGTGGCTCAAGTGGTGGATTGCTAGCCTTGAGGAAAAGAAACTCAGGAACATTGCCCAGGCCCTGAATTCAGGCTCTAGAATGCACGCGTGCGTGCATGCGTGCGCGCACGTGTGCGCACACACACACACACAGAGGCAAAGTTCTGAAGAAGTAAATTTTAGCACAAGAGTTTACTAGGGATGCCTGGTTTTAGAAAAAGGTGGTGGAGGCTTGGACCAGTCACTTCCTTTCTTTCATCATACTATTTACTTAAACATATTCTGACTGACTAGGCATAGCTTAAGTATTTTTATTTATTTATTTATTTGGTCCAGTCGTGGGGCCTGAACTCTGGGCCTGGGCGCTGTCCCTCAGCTCTTCAGCTCAAGGCTAGCACTCTACCACTTGAGCCACAGCGCCACTTCTGGCTTTTTTCTTTTTGCTTATGTGGTGCTGAGGAATCGAACCCAGGGCCTCATGCATGCAAGGCAAGCGTTCTACCACTGAGCCACCTTCCCAGCCCCAGCCTAAGCATTTTCAAGTATTATATCACCTATGTATTTCATTCCCACACATCAAGAATTATTAGTCCCACTGTATAGCTAAAGAAATTGGGCCGGGGCACTGTGGCTCATGCCTATAATCCTAGCTACTCAGGAGGCTGAGATCTGAGGATCATGGTTCAAAGCCAGCCCGAGCAGGAAAGTCCGTGAGACTCTTATCTCCAATAAACCACTAGAAAACCAGAAGTGGCGCTGTGGCTCAAGTGGTAGAGTGCTCGCCTTGAGCTGAAGAGTGCAAGGACAATACCCAAGCCCAGAGTTCAAGCCCCATGACCGACAAAAAAAAAGAAATCAGTTCAGAGAGGTTAGTACTTTGCTTGAAATTGCGTTGTTCCAGACCCAGTTTCATGTGTCTCTAAAACTTTTTTTTTCTACTTTTCTAAGTGGATCCTTCTCTATATCTCAGTTTATCTAGCAGCAAAGTGTAATAGTTAACAGAATATATCGTTGACTAGAAGCACATCTCTCATCACTTTTTTTTTTTTTTTTTGGCCAGACCTGGGACTTGCACTCTGGGCCCTGTCCCTGAGCTTCTTTTGCTCATCTGGCACTCTACCACTTGAGTCGTAGAGCCACTTCTGGCTTTTTCTGAGTAGTTTACTGGAGATAAGAGTCTCACAGACTTTCTTGCCTGGTCTGGCTTCAGTTTGTGATTCTCAGGTCTCAGTATCCTGAGTAGCTAGGATTACAGGTATAAACCACTGAAGTCCAGCTTTCTCCCTCCCTTCCCTTCCCTTCCCTTCCCTCCCCTCCCCTCTTTCTTTGCCAGCCTTGGGCGTGGCTTGGTTACTGTCTGTGCACTTCTGTGCTGTCCCTGAACTTTTTTGCTTGAGGGTAGTGCTCTACCACTTGAGCTATAACTCCACTTCTGGCTTTTTGTGAGTGCTAAATTGGAGATGAGAGTTTGTATCATGGAGGTTCCTACCAGAGCTGGCTTTTAATCATGATCCTCAGATTTCAGCCTCCTGAGTAGCTAGGATTACAGGCATGAACCATTGGTGCCCAGCTAATTTTAAATTTAGAAAGCCAAGAAAGAACACTTGAAGACTGCATTAACTTTCCGATTAAATGGTAGCACGGCCTAGACGTCTGGGGCAGTTGAACTTAATTGAAACTACAGTTTTTTCTTCTTTTTTTTTTTTTTTCCCCCCAGTACTGGCTTAGCTTATACTATTTTAAGGTTGCCTGCATACAGATGATCAGAGCTTAAACCAGATTATGAAAAAGAAAGCATGCCCAAATTACCATTCCATTTAATGGTAATTTATTCCTTATCTATCCTGATTGCACTCATTTTTAGCCATAGCACTAATTTAGTTATTATAGGATTTCACAGTACCTGACCAGAAAATCATTGCATGAGAATTAAAGAAGATGTGCCCAAGTGTTTATGCGTCTGTCTGTGTCAGTACTGGGGCTTGAACTTAGGGCCTGGGTGACATAGCTTATCTTTTTTGATCAAAGCTGATGCACTACCACTTGAATCACAGCTCTGCTTCTGGCTTTTCAGTGGTTAATTGAAAATGAGAGTCTCACAGTTTCTTGCCTAGGCTGGCTTTGAACCTTGATTCTCAGATCTCAGCCTCTTGAGTAGCTAAGATTACAGATGTGAGACAGATACCAGTGCCCAGCTAAGACATTACTTCTTCTTTTTCCTCTTTTTTTTTTTTTTTTGCCAAGACCACTTTTCCTCTTTGGCTGGTACTCTATCACCTGGGCCATGGCCCAAGACATTACTTTTTTTTTTCCCTTCCCTTCCCTTTCCTTTCTCCTTTTCTCCTTCCTTCCTTCCTTCCTTCCCTCCCTCCCTCCCTTCCTCTCTCTCTTTCTCTTTCTTTCTTTTTTCTTCCTTCCTTCCTTCCTTCCTTCTTTCCTTCCTTCCTTCCTTTCTTCTGGGGCTTAAACTCAGGGCCTGGGAGCTGTCCCTGACCACTTTTTGCTCAAGGCTAGAGCTCTACCACTTGAGCAACAGTACTACTTCTAGCTTTTTCTGAGTACTTTTTTGGAGATAAGAGTCTCAGAGGCTTTCCTGCCATGATCCTCAAATCTCAGCCTCCTGAGTAGTTAGGATTGTAGGCATGAGGTACCAGCACCTGGCCCAAGACAATACTTTTGTTTGGAGGTCTTCCTAGAAAGCCCCAAACACATTGGAGGCAATGTATCAGCGTGTTTTACCTGCATATAGAACTGGTATGTTGGGCTGGGAAGGTGGTTCAGTGGTAGAGCGCTTGCCTTGCATGCATGAGGGCCTGGGTTTGATTCCTCAGCACCACATGAGCAGAAAAAAAAAGCCAGAAGTGGTGCTGTGGCTCAAGTGGTAGCGTGCTAGCCTTGAGCTGCAGAGCTGAGGGACAGTGCCCAGGCCCAGAGTTCAGGCCCCACAACCGGACCCAAAAAAAACCCAAAAACCAAAACTGGTATGGGTAGGGCTGAAAATGTGGCTGAGTGGTAGAGTGCTTGCCTAGCATGCATGAAGCCCTGGTTTGATTCCTCAGTACCACATACACAGAAAAAGCTGGATGTGACACTGTGGCTCAAGTGGTAAAGTGCTAGCTTTGAGTAAAAGAAGATCAGGGACAGTGGGCTGGGAAGGTGGCTCAGTGGTAAAAGCGCTTGCCTTGCATGCCTGAGGCCCTGGGTTCGATTCCTCAGCACCACATAAGCAAAAAGAAAAAAAGCCGGAAGTGGTGCTGTGGCTCAAGTGGTAAAGTGCTAGCTTTGAGCTGAAGAGCTGAGGGACAGCACCCAGGCCCAGAGTTCAGGCCCCATGACCAGACCAACAAGAAGATCAGGGACAGTACCCAGACCCTATGTTCAAGTCCCAGGACTGGCAAAAAACAAAACAAACAGAAAACACAGGTATGCCAGAAGGAAACAAGCTTTGAAAGAAATCTTTACATAGGGGCCCTAGACTTTGCCTGGTCCAATCCTAAATAGAAATGTAGAACCTGTTCAAAGATGGCCCTTGTAACTTGGGTCTTCCACCATTCTTTCTCCAGCCTCCTGCTAACTTTTTGCTGCTGTGTTTTATTTAGTCCACTGTGCTAATATATTATTTTTTAAGATGGTGACTCATTGGGGCTTTCTCCAAATTCTTAAGCCCAAATTATCCTACCTCAGTGACAGATAACATGGGACTGCAGGCACACACACTACCACATCTACCTTTATTCCTTTTTTTGGGAGGAGGGTACAGGAGACTAAATCCATGACATACCTTTCCAGTGCCTTATAACTGAGATGTAACCCCAGCCCTTTTTAGTTTTTTGGGAGTCATGGAGCTTGAACTCAGTGCCTGAGCGCTGTCACTGAGCTGTTTTTTTTGCTCAAGGCTATCATTTTACCACTCTGAACAACAGCTACACTTCTGT